CTGGGAAGGCAGATTTGGTATATTTTCACTGCAACTGAGCTGACTTATACCAGCAAAACCAAATGCAGTTTAAGGCAAAGTTCTCTTTGAAGACAGTTAGTTTTGTTTTTCCACAATCATGCAAGAGAGCAGGAATAAAAAGAAAGCTGAAGGGCCATCCAGTTAAGAATACTTCTTGACTGTCGGGAGGCATGAAGAGCTTTGTTAGCTCTCTGTTTAGATTTGTCATTAGTCTTCGCATACACAGAGCAATCACAGGAAAGGAAATCATTGGTGCTCAGAGCCGTTGGTTAGTGATTAATTTCCATCTTATGACACTTGGCGTGCTGCTTCACTACCTCCTCCATGCCAGAAGTCAAAAGTGACTCCAATCAAAAACCAGCAAGGAAGGGTCAAAAAAAAAAAAAAAAAAAAAAAAAAAAAAAAAAAAAAAAAAAAAAAAATCCCTGGATTACATATGTCTCCCAGGCAACAAGTGACTGAGGAGTGGATAACAGCCCCCTGATCATCTCAGCACTGGAGTGCTTTCAGACCTCCTGACATGCTCCCAGGGCCAACACAGCCACCTCCCTCCTGCCAGTCACAGGTTACAGCTTCTGCACACTTCTAGGTAAGGTTACTAAAAACAAGGGGAATGCTACTACAAGTCCCCTTCACACTGTCCAAGAGTAAACTACAGTTGCATGTAAACTATTTCAGAAGTGTTAATAGAGAGAGAAAGCAACACAAAGTTATCCCAGAGAAGTTCATGACTGAAAACTTTATTTAAAAAAACCCATCCTTTTCTATTATGAAATTGCTACTCCTTTTTATGTCACCTACTATACATGTAGATTGTGCCATGATATTGTGTACTGAATCCCAATTTATTAATACATTTCCTCTTTCTCATATATACAATTCTGATTCCCTTCCAGACATTAAACCCCACGCATTGCCATGAAAAGTTACATGGCACACTCAACGTTCAGTCACTTTTTCTCCAAATGGACTGCATATAAATTTATTTTAATCCTACTTTACACAATCTATTAGTATCTAAATAAAAACGTTTGGCCTTTTTTAGTAGAATTGAAAAAAATATTGAAATAATTAAAACGTTGCTTGTCAGCTCTTTCAGTTGTTACAGCTGGGAATAAAAGCATTACCCACTATTAAAACTCCTCATGATAAAGATTTTGCTTCCACGTATTTCACAACTAACTGCCTGGCCTTACGTATCAGATATCATCTGCCCAAAGCTCAATTAAAAAAATTATGCATTGAGCTCTTTGCAAGACCAGTGGCTGGGAAAAAATATATATAAGCCATCTATATAAAAATTCCAGATAATGTTTATTTGAGGAAATTTTTTCCCTGGTTATTTTAGCACAGATTTGAAATGTGTTAGGAATGCAGCTTTTTCCCCCAGATTTGTTCTTTTTATTGCCATAAAAACAGTCTAGCCAAAAGAAAGACTTGGGAAGAGTAGATATAGGAACCACAGAACATGTTGGCTCAGGGGGATGTTGGCAATTTCAAATTTTACCTTCTGAAGCTCTGGTAATATGTTCACTTTGAATCTACACCAGGGAGGAACAGCTCCAGATGTCCACATTTCTCACAGCCACAGCACCATCACTAAGATGGTCCTTAAGGGAACAGACCCCTAAGGAAAATCTCCCAAAAGGGATGTAGTGGGTAGAGGGGTCCTCACATCTCCTGCTGTTTCCCTGGTCTTCACTGCAGTCTTCCTCCCTGATGTCTTGCATATGTCTTGCCTTTCTTCCACAAGCCCATTTCAAGTAATTTTCTTCAAAGAAAACTATTCTGCTCACACAATTTGATGTCATTTAAACTTATTAAGCTGACTCACATGAAGGGTCTGATGCGCACCCAAGGCTGCTGCAAAGCTG